TGCCATTTCAAATATGCAAAAATTTTTGCAAAATTTTAAATAACATGATTTTTAATCAAGAAAAACTAAAAGTGTGCAAATTTCCTTTGACAGGTTGTTTGCAAAAACCTTGCAATTTTTTTTTCGCAAAACTTGTGCAATCTGTTTTCTTATGTCATAGGCTTTCTAAAAAGCTAAATTTTATCAAAATCTGACAAGTGAAAGTGGGTCAAAACAAAGATTAAGTTTGTTACAGGAAAAAGCAGTCATTCAGGCAGTGTGCCTGAGGACTCAGGCAGTTAGTATTAAAGCCCGGTTTTAAACAAGTTTTAAACATGATAAATAAAAAAGTTAAAGATTTAAAACTTTTACGATACCTCTGTTTATGTTTATAAATAAGAAAATCAGAATTGTTAATTTTGTAAAGTCGAACATAGGTTTACTAGATATCTGCAATTCATGGCATTTGGAAAAAAAATTTATATTTTTTTAGATTTTATATAAATTTTTATTATTAAATCATTGAGAAAAAATAGACAGTTACTATTAGCCAGGACAGTTTGACACTTTATTTTGAAAATGGTATGTTTAATTCACAACAGCACCCTTAAAAGTTATGTTGGATCAAGAATGCGTGAAATCTTTGCACATTTTAATGTTTCATTATCTGGCGTACCCCTCTTTTTATGGAATGCCACTGAAAATTAGAACAACTGTCCCCTCAACAATTTTAACTCAGAAATGGTATAAAAGATATTTTTTAAAGGGAGTGTTTGCAAAAAATGAAAGGGGGTATAGACTTACGATGGAAAAATTATCGTTGGTGCAGATCGCTACAAATCGTACTTCTATGATCTATCTATTCGCCTATAAGGAGAAAACTGTTGAAAACGACTAAAACGTCGTTTTAAGTGCATTGTATATTTAAAACAAATATTTATGAAATATTAACTATATACGAATGCGTCGAAAAGTTATCGATGATTATAGGTTGTAATATCGGAATGATTTTTTTTGGAATTAAATTGAATTTTTTGCGATCCGAGTCGTATCTTGCAACTTTCTGAATTTGTATGAACGCTACGTTCTTCGGTAAGAGTCGCTTTTAACAATTTTCTCCTTATATGTAGACGCAACAACAGATAGAAGTAAGATTAGTAGTAGAGATCACCATTGGTAATTTTTTGCCGTAAGCCTATAACCCTTTTCATTTTTCCTGTTTTGTTCATATCCAATAAATGGCAAAATTTTAACTACCAGTACATTATTAAACCTATTTCAATTTTGTTATTGAGGTCTTCCTATTATTTTGTTTTGCTCAAAATCGGTTAAAAGTTATTTACTCCAACGTTTTGTGTTGCGCCGTTGTCTTAAAAACTTGACCATTGGTAACCCTATAAACCATAGTGAACACTTATTTTACGCGGGCCTCCTAGCACCCAAACTGTAAAAGTTCTCGATTTAATTTTTTTTCAATGAGCTAGCCTTGAAAAATTGGGCTATGAACATGCAGTTCATCCCTATACCTGTTCTCTAAGGCCTTTTTCTAGGGGGGGGGGGGGGAGTCTTTAAATATATTCAGACCCCCCAGCTTTTCTAGTATTAATATCTAAAGTGTATCTTTTTATAACCTCCCTTCATTATTGATTATTATAAACAATATAAACATTTATTTTTTATCAACAAGTTTTTAAACAGAGGTCAAGGAAGACCCCCCGGTGGGAGTAAGCTTAAAAGGAATTTAAAGTTCTAAACAGAATCATAAATATTTTACTAACTCTACTTTGTTTTGTGCAACAAAATAAAGTTTTTAAAAAGTGTTTAAAAATGAATGATTTCCAGGAGTTTTTAATCATTTAAAACGGTTTTTGGAATTAAAACCCTTTTAACATTATATTTAGAAAATTACAAAAAAGAGCTTTTACAACAAACTCAAATTTTCTAATCTCTATATCTAATTTTTTTTCTAAACCCTTTTATTTAATATCATTGGAAAAATTGTTGTTAAGGTTTCAGAGCTATGTTTAATGTTAAAATGAAATTTTTCTGAATAAAAAAGAAAACCCTTTAAAACTTATTACTTTCCTGTGACAAGTGCCACATGAGAAAATTTTTAATTGTTTTATAAACATAAATTTGGATATTAAATATAGTAAAAAAAATATTTTTTACGAAAACGTGGTTATGTCTATTTCAAATACACTATATATATATATTATGTACATATAAAGCTAAGAGATAAGAGGTTATCAAATTTAATTCTGCTATCTTAACCTTATCACCCCCCCCATACATACCAGTCTTAACCCTGCAGTACCCCCCCTCCCCACCTCCTTCAATACCAAATCTGGAATCCCAGATAATTGGTTTTATCAATAGTTTAAGTGATAAGTTGACTAAAGAATGTCTGTTAGGAGTTTTCTGCGAAGGTAACTAATTTTGTTCTTGTTAGAAACAAATGTGTGCTAACATTGGTGTCTCAATATCCATTTTTAGATAGACAGAAGAAGAAGCAGGGTTGCCAACTAGCGAAATTTTTCCCATTTTTGGGAAATCTAAGAAATTTATAACCCAATGCTGAAAGGGGAATTCCCATTGGGAATTTTCAGGGATTTTAAAAATTCCATTAAAAGTACTTTTACTACGTATATTCAGTACTATAAAAAAATTGGGAATTTTTAGTTGAATTGGGGAATTTTCAAAACAGAAATCGGGAATTATCTTCTCTGAGTGTTAGCAAAGCCCAGAAGGTCAAATTTATGCCTTTGTGACCTCGCAGGTCCTATAGTTTTGACCTCGCAGGTCCTTTAGTCTTGACCTCGCAGGTCTTCTAGTTTTGACCTCGCAGGTCCTCTAGTCTTGACCTCGCAGGTCCTCTAGTTTTGAATTTACGCACACGTAAATAAAATCCTTTATAGCTATTTTTATCTTTTTGGAAAACCTGAAGGTCTTTTTGAAATTGCTGCCATTTTAATTTTCATATTTGCTCCTCATAACACTTTGAATTATGGATGTCACAATGATTTTTTCGTACTTATCTCTTTATTTGTTTAAATATTAGATACAGGGTGTCCCACGAAACATGACGCAAGACCTAATTTTAGAATTAAATTTCTAGAGATAATAATCACAAAATTCCCCATGCAGTCCTGCCATTTCCAAAATGTGGTCTGCCTTTTGTGTGCTTTCAATATTGCCCGAGATATGAAGAATTTCGTTCAGATTTTGCTTTTATTTAACACAATTGAAATCTGAACCAAACTCTTTATATCTCCGGTAATATTGAAAGCACAAAAAACGCAGAACACTTTTTGGAAATGCCAGGGCTAGGAGAATTATGTGATAATTGTTTCAAGAATCATACATGTTAAAGTAGATAGAAGACTAAATGTCACAAATAAATTCAAATATCAAAAACGACTTTCAAGTCGTCTTGCTATTGTCATGTTTCGTGGGACACCCTGTATTCAAATCATGCGTGCAGTTTACTTCAATTTTCACGTAAATCAAAGAATGCTTTCTATTTAACTTCATGATAAAAAGGTTTGCGCCCTAGAACCAATTTTGTGTAATCATAATCATATCGTTGTGTTTATTTCAGTTGAAAGCTAAATAAGACTGATCAAAATAAATTAATATATGCAAACGGTAACAAATCTCTGAAATACCTTTGCAACCCGATGTCATAGACCTTAGATTTTTAAAAATATGAACTCTCTTAGATTAAATAGTTTGAAATATCAAAGGTAGTCACCGTCAGATTGCTTTTAGGATAAAGGTATTAGAAAATTTGAGTTTGTTGCAAAAACTCAGTTCCTTTCTAGATTAAATTGATTAAATTGTATGTCATAACTGCAATAACTATTTATCTCTTCATTACAGGGAGGATGCATTTTTCACAACCCATAAAACCTATCTTATTCTTTTAAACATTACAAATAAATCTATCATTTTTCTTTTCCTTTCCTTTCCTTTTCCTTATATATCTGGTTTTATATTTTTTAGGATTGGAGGGAAATATTCCTTTTAAAACAAAATATTTATTTCGTTAAAAAAATATGTTATGATTTTAACATTAAATATTGTATATAGATGGGCGTTTATTTTTTGACATAAAAAACTTTTTTACATACAGGGAAAGGGTTTGCTATATTTCTCGTTTTCTTTATCTCTTTAAAGTAGAGAAGAAGATTGATAACTTGATATGCGAGAGATATTCATTACAATAAAAAAATAGGAAACTTTTACGTGTAGGGCCTATATCACGCAAATTATCGAGAATTTCGTGTTAAACTATAGGAATGAAAGATATCAGCTCGATTGAAAAGATCGATTTATAAAGAATAATGGTGATCGATCGAGTAGGTTTGAAATTGCCATCTTAAGTGTAGAAATATCTCTGGTCACCATCTCTGATTTGCCATCATCTCTGCGTATTCCCACAACCTCTATTTTTGGAAGTTTCCAATATTTTCTTCTTAAACAATTAATTTTGGATGTTTTTGTTAGTTTTCATAAATAAAGGATAACTTACTTACTGCAATGTAATATTCCCTTCTATATTTAGTGCATCCTTTTTGCCTCAAGCCAATGAAGAGATATGTAATTTTTTCAGCTTTTAAACAAATCTTATGGAGATTTTTTCACTTTTAAACGAAATATAAATTTTTGATTTATATCAACATCTTCTTTTTATATGTTTTAAAAATTGTAAAATCTATTTAGTTTTGTAACACATATTTTTGAGCTCAGAAATCAAACCTCATTCATGTTTTCGAAGTTATAAATCCGCAACTTCTTGCCAGAAAAATTCGCAATTAATTAGATTGCCTCCCGAGGGTTTTAATCTAACATTGCTGCTGTAAATATCAGATTCATTAGTGTCGTAATTTTGTTCAAAGTTAGAAAAAGTTTTTATTTGATATGTGATATAAATATAAATAATTACATAGGTTTATTCAATTAAAGATAAGGTTGTAGTATATATACTCACATAGGGAGGAATAAATACACTAGTATATTTTATACCTTCAAACAATAGAAATTTTATTGTTCAGTTAAATATATGAAGTTAGTGCATCCAACAATTCAATACCAAGGTCGGGGGTTACTTTTTGATTGATGAGATGGATCAAGATTTATTTGTAGATAGGTCAAGATTTATTTGTAGATAGATCAAGATTTATTTGTAGATAGATCAAGATTTATTAGTAGATAAATCTAGATTTATTTGTAGATAAATCAAGATTTATTTGTAGATAGATCAAAATTTATTTGTAGATACATCTAGATTTATTTGTAGATAAATCAAGATTTATTTGTAGATAGATCAAGATTTATTTGTAGATAGATCAAGATTTATTTGTAGATAAATCAAGATTTATTAGTAGATAGATCAAGATTTATTTGTTGATAGAACAAGATGTATTTGTAGATAGATCAAGATTTATTTGTTAATAGATCAAGATCAATGTTTATTTCGTTGCTTTTGCTGGGTTTAAAGGGAATAGTTGACAATTAGATATAAAGAAACTCAAGCATAGTGCAACTTGTCACATAAAATTACTCCTAAAAAGTCTCTAATTTTCAGTTTTTGGACTCTAAAATGAAAAAAAGCGTCCGGGTCATTTTACGTTTAGATTCCATTTTCTCCTTAAAGTATGTCATCAAATTTTACTCATTTAATAAATAGTTTTATTATTTTAATTTTCTAAATCTGAGATAAAAGGAAAAATTAAATAATATTAAGTTTATTGTCTTATTAAATCCTTTGTTATTGCCGAATTATTTGATCTAATTTTAAAGGAATTGTCTTCGTAATACTAAGAGGAGAACACCCATTGTTTTTAGCAAGAAATGTGCAAGTGAAAATAAACAGTTTTCAAATACAAAAGTGTGGATATCTTATTCATAATTGATTATACAAATCTTTTAATGACACCATTGTAAATCGAATATGGCACTCTATTGCATAAATTTACTAAATTTTAAATATCAATTATTTGCAAACACTCTGGTACTCAACAACCAGTAATGTTCCATTAAATCGAATTTGATGTTTGCGACATATAATGGTTCTAATGGTTCCCAGCAAACCTACAGATTCTATTCTAACAATATAACTTCAAGGATTGGTTTAAGTGAATATTTACACACTTAAAGGAACTGTACGCATAATTTTGAAGTCAACACTCCACCCACAGATGGTAAAGCACGATTCACGACGGTACCCTTTAACAGCTGCGTCAGATCAAGTATTATAATTGAATATTAATGTTTAAAATTTTGAAAACTGATTTATTAAAATTGTGGTTTCTGTGCAAGAGTGACTTATAAAAATAATAATATAAGATAAAGGTTTAAAGGGAACCGTTGTGAATCAGGCATCGTCATCTTGCATTAAGGGCAACTTGAAATTACTCTTACAGTCTCTTTAATTATGAAAAATATGTCGAATGTTTAATTACCTATTGTAAATATTTCGTGTATAAAAGCCAAAAAAAGGCTTGCAATTTATTAGGAAATCAACGTTTCAAGTTCAAAGGGAACTATTATAGAAATATTTGAGGTATATGTTTACATTGTCTGTCTTAAAGGAAAATATAAAAATCTATTTCTTCAAAAACTTTCTTGTTTTGACTTTGTCCACTGTTATAGTATTTATTCATGAATCCAATGTAACCTTCATCTATTTTCTAATTAGGATATATGGTAAAAATTACTCGAAGAAAGTAGGGTTTGGGGAAATAATACTTCATTCCTGACTGATATTTAAGTAAGATCGAAGGGAAAGGTTTAAGAACAGAAAATTTTCTAAAAGTTTTACTGGTCCGAATTCTTTATTCAATGCATTTATTTACCCTTAGATTAATTCAGAACATTTTGTTCCATATTACGAACATTCTTTTCGATATTAGGAACATTTTGTTTGCTATTATGAAGATTTTGTTCAATATTATGAACATTTTATTTTATATCACGAACATTTTTTTTCCATATAACCAACATTCGCTTCAATATTATGAACATTTTGCTTGATATTTAGATCATTTTGTTAGATAGAACAAAAATGTTGTTAAGGAATATAAATATATTTGAAATAACGCTAACATTGTGTTAACATTTCTAACCAGCAATGTAAACATTTTAAAATGCTTTCGGGTCGACATATTTGGCAACATTTTAAAGATTCTTCTAATAGTTTAAATAAATAGTAAGGACTTTAGAAGTACTAGATACTGCAATGTTTACGAATCAATATATTTAATAAAACTCTTCGCTCATATATATATATTTGTCAGCTAGCCTATAGCTGGCCAAACGGATTAACCGGAGTGTTTATAAATCAATTAATCATAAAAATATTAAATACCTTGAATTTATCACGACACGTCATACTCAAGACACTCTTCGGTCATGGAACGTTTTCGGCAGATTGCAACTTTAAACATTAAATCTTAATTCTGTCATATGATATTAAATACCGTATTTTTAAATGTTTTCTATCAAAGCCTAGATTTAGAGATTATTAGCAAGATAAAAAAAAACTAGATGAAAAATTTGAGTTTATTTATAAAACTAAATCAAGCCTACTGTTATAGTACTTGAGTCTTTGCCACAAACTCAAATTTTATAATCTCTATACCTTTGATATTTCAAACTTATACGTATACGCCATTGGGTTCATTGGAGGATTTACAAACTTTAGAAACAGCATTTTAAATTTGCTGTTTTGATGTTTTGTTTTACGTAGAAACAAAAATACAAGTCAAAAAAATATAAAAATGAAAAGATTTATCTAATACTAGCTGAGAATTAAAAATCATTTTAGGCTTTTGTTACCCCCAGGGTACCCATTGATTCTCACAAAAAATGTCAGCCAATTTGGTATACCCGTTTAGCTACCTATAGCTGCGGACATACAAATATCTATATAGGAAAGCTTTGTATTATAGATTATCTCTATACATAATTGAAATTTTAATACCCTCGTCATTTCTTTATTCACGTTTTCAAAATAAGCTAATTATTTATAAATCAAGGTTTAAAATAAGCTAATTATCTATAAATCAAGGTTTAAAATAAGCTAATTCTTTATAAATCAAGGTTTAGAATAAGCTAATTATATAAATCAAGGTTTAAAATAAGCTAATTATTTATAATTCAAGGTTTAAAATCCAGTGATAAAATAATGATAGCTTTCCAAAGTTCACCTTGCACACTGATTTTATCATAAAATTTTATCATACAGCCACTAATGGTTTTTTAATAATTTATATTTTTAATAAAAGCTAGATTCTATTGCATTGTTCCCTGCAAACCTTGAGTAGAGTGCATTTAAGAGTTTTAATATTTTTTAGACAAACTTTATTATCCATCCCCTGTGAGGTTGCAGGTTCCTTATATTTAGGGCTGGTTGTGTTCCCAATTTTTTTAAATCATTCATTCCTCGTTCCAGAACGAGGGTTTTTAGCTTCATCGTTCGTTACTTTTTCGTTCTTTTTCCAAATGTTCTATCCCCATTCTGTTACATTCTTTGAGGAGAATGGTTCCAGCCGTTCGTTCCGCTAGATGGTTTGTTCCTCATTATTTCTTTTTATAGATCGTTCCAAAAAATTTAAGAATACATTCTATGTTTCCGTTTTTTTCGGAACAATGGCATCGTTCTTGATAATTCCGTTCGTTCCGTTAAAGAAAAATCGTTTCCTGAGAACGACGCCCAGCCCTACTTATATTCCGATACTTCTGTATATACCTTACATTATTTAAAATTGGGTTTTCAATCCAGCAGATGGTCTAACCTTTAAACCTTTATGTAGGCTGAGTATATACTCTAAACCTGGAGTTCAACATTTTCAATTTATATTTGTAGCCAATGAAAACACTTGAAGTTAAGTGATTCTGGATCCCGCATACCAAGAATGTGTATATTGTATACAGGAACAAGACACTTTTAACATTTGAAAAAGGAGATCAGAGTTGGGAACTTTTGCATTGTAGATGATCTCCTTCTTTTGCTAACCTGCAGATTAATTTATTTTCTATTCAATAAACAACGTGTAATTATACCTTGAAGTGATAACTGAAATCAAGAGATTATAGCATTTATCCGCAAATTAAAATTGCCTACAGTGGATATCGAGATCAATAAATCGTGATTATGAGTATCCATGGATACCCAAATGTCCATCGAATACCCGAATATATTTCTAAATTACGAAATTTTGTTAGAATTTAATAAACTTTCAATAGTCGATCTAGCATCCCACGGCCATTTAAGTTAATACGTTGATTTTCAAACTACTGTTAAACCTATTTCCTTCATAACAACATTAAGCACACATACGACAGTTTAAATGTCGTCTTTCTATTCCATAGTTTTAAGGGTCTAAATGTAGCAAAATTATAAAATTTTACATTTTATCAGTTTGAAGCAATTCCTTTCTGGAATATATACAACATATATTGTTCTAAATTCTCTCAGTAAGACATCAAAGGGAAGAAAGGAAAGAAGAATAATTAATTAGTTTTTGTCATCTTCTTCTAGAATCATAATTCCTTGATTAAGTTGAAGTCAGACAAATTAAAACGTGCTTTAAACAGGAATTGAGTCTTTGCCACAAACTCTGATTTTCTAATTAGTATATCTTTGCTACCGAATGAAAATTGTAGACCTTAGATATTTCAAACTATGAATTTTGTTAGATCAACTAATCTAAGTTTGAAATATCAAAGGTTTACACCATCATGTTGCAAAGATATGGCTACAAGAAAATTTAAGTTTTTGGTAAAGCCCCAATTCGAACCATAGACAAATTAAAAGATGTTTTGAACAGAAATCAAAAAAAATATTTGAGAGAAATGAAACAAATGATAAACAGAAATTTAAGAAAATAAAAATCTTTCGAAAAAAAACAAGTACATTATACATTGTACTTTTAAGAAGAATAAAAGTATTAATTTTGTATCATATGCCTTAATTCTCAATGATTTTAAATAGAGTACAAAAGTTTGTACATAAATTAGTTTGTATAATGTATATAAGTATTGCGGTAAACCAACCAAAGTCAGTTTCCTTCTTTTTACTTTCTAAATACTATATTACAAATTAAGAAAGAGAAAATGTAAAAATAGTAGAAAAGATGCCGAGAGAGGGGGGGGGGCAATTTTTCTTTATTGAAAACACTGTTACGAAGCAAACAGTTTTACTTATAAAATCACAGACTAAGTAAAATATGGGTCTGTTTACACTGCACAATTGTTATGTGCCATGCTCATTGGACTATTGCAAGTCATAACTTCAGTCTAAAAGTCGTCTTCCTATTTCGTAGTTTTCTTTCTTTATCACATGTAAGTAAATGCAACATAAGAAGTCACAAAATGTCAAGATGGATCTTCCTTTAAGCGCTTTGTTAAGTTTCTAATCCATAAATAAAAAATTCTTACCTTTAAAAGAGTCTCGAAGTAAAAGCATGTTAGCTATAAATATTTCTTGTATTAATATTGCAATCTGCTAGAATGTTGGGAGGAGGGGTTGCATATGTTCCCATACTAGCGTGTGATGAGGAAGGGGGTAAGAAGGCAGACTGGAGAAGGGGGATTATCGGAAGGATTCAAGCTCCCTTTTCATACGGAACCTTCTTTCCTGACAAGCAGGTATCCACATTTTTTCAGATTTTAAATTCAAAAGGACTGTTAGCATAATTTTAAGTGAACTTCCGTTTATAGATTGGAATATCCGATTAAACCTTTGTTTGATCATAGGATTTCGTTGATATTCTTATTTATATAGCGGGTAATTAAGTGCCGAAAAACCGCGCAAGTGTACACGAGCTCGGAGAGTACAATGTACACTGTAACCTCGAGTCTCCCGGCACTCAATCTTTAGCTGTACAAATAAGGGTATATATCTACTCTATAGTTGTCTAAACAAAGGTTTAAAGGGTACCGTTGTAAATCGGACATCCTAGCTCTAAAAATGGAAAGTCACATGGAATTACGCTTACAGTCCCTTTAATTCTCAGATTTCAAAGAAATACTTTTTGTTCAAATTGTACAAGAAAACTGTAAATTTTGCGTCTTTTAACATTGTAGCCATGTCAGCTTTATAGTTGTTTCATGAAAATTAAATATATTTTCATTTCTTTAAAATCCACATAAACATATTTCCGTATTTTTTTTTCTTTTTCAATGGCAATAAGTCAGAAGGTTAATATTCTTGAGTCTCTGATTAGTCAGAAATATCTGTCGCCATGGTGTCAAGAGTTCTTTACTTGCATACTTTACAGTCCAATTAACATTTTCTAATCCCCAAATCTGTGCAACCTGATGGTGTACACCTTTGATATTTTGATTATTTGATCTAACAGAATTCATAATTTGAAATATTAAAGTTCTACGACACTATATTGGAAAGATATTAGGATTAGAATATCAACTCTTTTTCTTTGTTAAATCATTAAAACCTGTACTCGAGATATATTCCATTTCAACTGTTGAATACCGATAAAATTTCGGAATAATAAATATTTTCTTAGAAATTACAAACAGAATTTTAAGGATATTTATGATTGTTAGAAAGCCTTAACATTATAATCATAATTTCTTACTAAACGTTTGTTATTAAGACACATGACGTTTATGAGGAAAAATATAGATCAGCTAATTGTGCCGTGGTGCCGTGTCATGATCTTAAAAAAATACAAACTACGTTTCATTGACCCCAGTTTTCTCGGTGGACTGTTGAAAGCAGGCTGAAATGAATTCCCGGATTTCTTCTTTTTCTTCAATTTTAGATTCAACAGTTTTCACTGTCTCCGTCAGAAGGGGAGACATCATGTATGTTTTATTAAGTGAAAATCGATTTTTTATACTTTTCAAATGTCAAGCAAACCTTGCAAAGAGGCCTTCTACTTTTTATTTCAATTATGAATTATAAATTCTCAATTTATCACGTATCTGATAGGGGATGGAGTTGTAAATTAAGATTTATATGATGGAAATGTTTAAATATGTTGTTTATCATGAAAGCCTGATGTGAATTGTAAACATAAACTAAAGACAGCTGATTAATAAAATGTCAGTTTTCTTATTTCATCATGAGTTGGCAAATTATATCTTATATTACTCTTTGCTTGGAAATTATTTAATTAAACAAAGATCCTTTTTTATAAACCCGGCTCTTTATTAATTGGATTAGCGCTGGGTTTCATTACATTTATTTATTAACAGTTAGTCAAGACGGAACTTTTATCTTGTGAATTACAGATGTAGCCACAGAGCACATAGACAGGACACATTCAATAATTAAAGATGGTTGTAGCCACAGAGTACATAGATAGGACGCAATTAATAATTAAAGATGTTTGTAGCCACAGAGTACATAGATAGGACACAATTAATAGTTACAGTTGTTTGTAGCCACAGAGAACATAGATAGGACACAATTAATAATTAAAGATGTTTTTAGCCACAGAGTACATAGATAGGACACAATTGATAATTAAAGATGTTTGTAGCCACGGAGTACATAGATAGGTCACAACTAATAATTAAAGATGTTTTGTAGCCACAGAGTACGTAAAAAAGGACAAAATTGATAATTACTGATTTTTGAAGTTACAGGGTACATAGATAGGACAAAATTAATAATTAAAGATGTGTTCAGCCACAGAGTACATAGATAGGACACAATTGATAATTAAAGATGTTTGTAGCCACAGAGTACATAGATAGGACACAATTAATAATTAAAGATGTTTGTAGCCACGGAGTACATAGCTAGGACACAATTGATAATTAAAGATGTGTGTAGCCACGGAGTACATAGATAGGACACAATTAATAATTAAAGATTTTTCTCTTGCCACAGAGTACATAGACAGGACACAATTAATAATTAAAGATGTTTCTCTAGCCACAGAGTACATAGATAGGACACAATTAATAATTAAAGATGTTTCTCTAGCCACAGAGTACATAGACAGGACACAATTAATAATTAAAGATGTTTCTCTAGCCACAGAGTACACATAAGGGCACACTTATCAATTACGTAAGTATTTTTTTTCAGTCAGCAACTCTTGTTTTCAATAACATAAAGTGCATCTTTCTCGAACAGTGCACTGAGCCGTGCACTGAACCAGATTGTGTTGATGACATAAAGATCAATTAATAAAATTGCACTGAAATTAAATTTGTTTTAATTGTTTTGCCCGAGATCGAATTTTTATATAAGTAATATGACATCAGATTAAGTTAATTCCTCATCCAAGAGCTCCAACCTGTGATTTATCTATCTATCAATCTATCTATCTATCTATCTATCTATCAGGTTGAAGAAGGAAGTATGGATGTAGGGTTATCTATCTACGCCTTTCTGAATTTTATCTCAAATAATGACCCGGCTGGTCTGCAGCAGTTCCTACAGAACAATCATGTAGAGGTGAGATAAATAAGGAATTGAGACTTTGCCACAAACTCTGATTTTCTAATCCCTATATCTAAGCAACTCAATGTCGTAGACCTTAAATAATTCAAACTATGAGTTCTGTACCACTACTGTTAGGTCAAATAATCTTAGTTTGAAGTATAAAATATCAGGTTGAAAATATAGAGGGATTAGAAAATTTGGGCTTGTTGGTACTTTTGAACAAAAAGTCTGAATTTTTGAATTGCTTTCGGTAGGTTGACCTTCACAAGGTTAGGTTTAACCAAGGTAATAAGGCAAGGAAAGTTAATTATGGTTGTGTATTTTATGCGCACATATTAAACCAATTCTCTCTGGGCTGTATTTATGAACAAGAATAGATGCATCAGTGTTCGTTTAGTATCCGAGGAGGTTAAAAGCATTTGATTTTCATAATTCACATAACAGTTTCCTTTGAACAGAATATTTCATTGATTTTTATGTGAAAGAACAATCACATTTCAGGTTGTGACATCCGTATTTTGTTTACTTTATAGCCCAGAGACATTACACTGCAGTACAAAAATGCATACACTTCACTGAAATAGATTATCAAGTACAATCAGGTGGCAACAGAGAAATGGACTCATTATGCATGAGTTATGTGGATAATAGATATCAATGATAAAAGAATGGATAACTAATTGAATGATGTTAATGAATTGAAAAAAGTAAAAATTAGATATTGAATTTAAAATTGATGAATGATGATAGATGAAGAGTAGATTTAATTGATTATTTGGATAATGAGGATTAGGGTTAGACAATCAAAAGATTAATCCCAAGGTGATGATAAGGATTGGGATTAAGTAATGAAAATATTAATCCCTAACTAGGTGGATAATGATGAGGTTTAACTAACGACAATATTAATCCCAAGATGGATAATGATGAGGATTAATTAATAAAAATATTAATCCCAAGGTGGATGATGATGAGGATTAATTAATAACAATATTAATCCCAAGGTGGATAATAATGAGGATTAATTAATGAAAATATTAATCCCAAGGTGGATGATGATGAGGATTAATTAATGAAAATATTAATCCCAAGTTGGATAATAATGAGGATTAATTAATGACAATATTAATCCCAAGGTGGAGGATGATGAGGATTAATCATCGAGATATTAGTAAGAGAGGGGGCATCTGGAATTTTAGACTTCTTGTTGTACAGCCACTGTACACAATGACCCGATCAGAAATTCTACCTGGGGGGATCATAATTCGTAGATCAGTGTTCTAAGACATTATTGTTTGAAAGTGAAGCCTAGAAAATGAGACATGACAAATAGAGAAAAAAATAAAATCCTTCTCCTTATAACATCTTGTTTCTTATCAAATTCTTTACTTCTGAAATCTACATTGTGCATTAACTCTTAGGAATATAGGTTTCTGACTTTTAGAATGAAAAGCAATTCTGAACTAATAATAGGTCTAAATTAGGTTAGACTTAATTTTAAAGTAACTAGGCTTTTAGGGCGCTTCGCGCCCATCTTCTATTTAAATTGTGAACATGTTCTTTTTGTTGAGTGCAGTAGGAGCTGCACATTTTTTTGAGAAGTTCATATTTGTGCATTGCTTCATGATTGGCATTCTTCAGAATTTCTGGATGTTGAGTTGTGAGAGTAGATATCACTTTAACCCTATTCCTGCTGGGGGGGGG